ATAACATTTGAGGTCTGTGAACCTTTGAACTCTGGTCTTGCTGCTCATCTGTAAAATGGAAGTAACTCCACAATATATTTACAAAGTATAAGATGTTGAAGTACAGAGAAGTGTATTACAATTACTTCAATTAATTATTTAGGAAGATTTTTTAAAATATTACATGAGTAGTTTCCATACTTTAACAGCTCAAATTTGTAAGTATGTGTGTTCTGAAAGTCAACACCCTTATACTAAAAACCTTTATTTTCTTTTTTACAGATAGAATGAGTCCATTCGAGTCCCAGGACGGTGGAAACTAGCTAGAGGATTGCAGCCATGTTGTGGAAGCTGCTGATGAGATCCCAGCCCTGTAGGCTGTGTTCTCTCAGAAAGATGCCATCAACTCCAAAATATAGACCTTTCGTAGCATGCTTCGCCTACACAACTGATAGACTGTCAAGCAAAGAAAATACAAAAACAGTGGAAATGCTCTATAAATTTTCAGTTGACATTAGGAAAATTCGTAGATTAAAAGGATGGGTACTTTTAGAGGATGAAACCTATGTTGAAGAAATTGTGAATATTCTGCAAAAACTAGGTGCCGATGAGACTGCTGTAGCCAGTATTTTGGAACGCTGTCCAGAAGCAATTGTTTGTAGTCCAACTGCTGTTAACACCCAGAGAAAACTCTGGCAGTTGGTCTGCAAAAATGAGGAAGAGTTAATCAAGTTAATAGAGCAGTTTCCAGAATCTTTCTTTACTGTTAAAGACCAAGAGAACCAGAAGCTGAATGTTCTGTTCTTTCAAGAGTTGGGACTAAAAAATGTGGTCATTAGCAGACTTTTGACAACTGCATCTAATATTTTTCATAATCCTGTTGAGAAGAATAAGCAAATGATAAGAATTCTCCAGGAGAGCTATCTAGCTGTAGGTGGTTCTGAGGCCAACATGAAAGTTTGGCTACTAAAACTGTTAAGCCAAAACACATTTATTTTGTTAAATTCTCCCGCAGCTATAAAGGAAACACTAGAATTTCTCCAGGAGCAGGGTTTCACAAACTTTGAAATTCTCCAGCTTCTGTCCAAACTCAAAGGATTTCTTTTTCAACTTTGCCCAAGAAGTATACAGAATAGCATTTCCTTCTCTAAAAATGCTTTTAAATGCACACATCATGACCTGAAGGAATTAGTTTTGAAATGCCCTGCCCTTTTATATTATTCCGTTCCAGTTTTAGAAGAGAGAATGCAAGGATTATTGAAAGAAGGAATTTCCATAGCTCAGATAAAAGAGACGCCAATGGTTCTTGAATTAACACCACAAATAGTACAGTACAGGATAAGGAAACTCAATTCCTTAGGCTACAGAATAAAGGATGGACATCTGGCAAATCTAAATGGATCAAAAAAAGAGTTTGAAGCTAATTTTGGCAAAATTCAGGCCAAAAAAGTAAGACCTTTATTTAACCCTGTGGCACCGTTAAATGTTGAAGAATGACACACTGACTGATGTTGCTTCTTTATAGCAGTGCAGGGTGAAACTAGCAAAGACAAAAATTCGGGCAGTTTGTAGGCACCTGTAATTTTAGGAACCTGCTTAGCTTCTGAATTATGTTTAAGTTATCTCTAAATAGATAAATTCTGACTCATTTGCCATATTATAAAATGTAAACTGTATTCATTTTAATAACTAAAGTTGGTAACTTTTACCTTAAACCATTATTTCAAAAACTCATGTACCATTAAATGCCGTATCAGTTCGATACTTTATAAGTGAATCATTTCTAAGAAACAGACAAGAGCTTCCTTAATTCAAGGTATGGATACATTTTTATTCATACAGCACATTTCATCTTGGGATGCAAATCCAGTCTTCCTCACTACCAGCCATGAAACATCACTCTAGCTTAGTGTTACATAAAATATTAGCAAACTTCTATACCTTTTTTTTTTTTTGGAGAAAACTAATTTCATCTTGTGCTTGGAATAAATGACTGTCTTTGAGAACCAAGCATTACTTATCTAAAAAAATAATAATAATTAGAGCCTACTTGTGTGGTCAGTTTGCTTAAAATTGACCATTATTATAACTCATAAAGCACCCTGTGCATTCATTACTTTCCTCATTTGACACCTGAGGAAACTGAAGCTTAGAGAGGCCACTCAGCTGCCAAGTGGCAGAGTCCTACTAGGCTCCGACTTCTGTTCGAACCTTGTAAATTGGAAGGATTACTTATGAATTGGCTTAAGAGAAGTCACCCCTACCTGACATACCAAAAGGAATGAGTACTAACAACAAATTCGGGGACATTTATGAAAACCTCTCTATAAAATTTTCTAATTCAAAATTATCTAATTTATGTACACTTGAAATAAATGGAGCTTTTTAGAAAACTTCCTGAAAATCCAGGTCTGCCTATAAGGGAAAGTGGGTGATGGTTAGTACTAATTTTAGGAGTAGTGTTTCAAGTTTCCATTTCTGAACCTTTGGCTCCCTTTCAGCTGTGAAGTCTGAACTTTGTAACAAATGCACAGCCGAACAATTGACTCTGACACTGAACATCTGTGCACTATTTGTACATGGCTTAAGTATAATGGAAAAATTACGAAAAATGCAGGCAGTATCCTCACTCTTCACTCCTTCAGTAAATGCAAGTAGCCCTTACTATCCAAATCTGTCCACTCCCTTAGGACAGTGAGAGGGAGCTCTGTGTATAAGTGCTTTACGATTCTAAAAGTACCACTGTTCACTTCTACGGATGAGGAGACTCAGGGTAAGTCGCTTACGATTCTGTAAGTACCATCGTTCACTTCTACGGATGAGGAGACTCAGGGTAAGTTGTGTAGGAATGTTTATTCAAGAATAGCAGCCAGTACAGTTGGAGCAGGGCTGAGTGAATGGGAGAGTGGCACAAGAGGAGATAGGCAGCACGGGTCCTTCTAAGGAGCAGAATCTCATTCGAAGTGTGATAGGAAACCCTTGGAGAGTTTTTAGTATATGCTTCTTGTCCTGACATAAAGTTTCAGTGGTGCTCTTGCTCTTTCGCTCTCAAGTGTCTCAGTTGGGAAGACATTATCTGTGCTATGGTTGCCTTGGTAGTTAGAGGTCAATTTTGAGATGCTTACTAGACAGACATCCTAGCAGGGATGACAAACAGGCAAATGGCTAAGTCTGGAGTTTAGTTACAGTCAGAACTGAAATACATATTTGGGGATCATCTGCATAGCTATGATATTTAAAGTGATGGCTTTAGATTAGACTGTCTAGGGGATGCGGCGGGGGCAGCGGGAAGTGCAGATTTGGAATAGGGTGGTTGGCCAAGCCTGGAAAAGACTACTCAAATCAAGAAGTTAGTCATAGGAAGAAACAAGGACATGGTCAACAATAATAAATGCCACTGAGGGGTCAACTGAGATACAGAGAAGTGATGAATGGGTTGGGCAAAAAGGAAATAACTGGTTCACACTATAAGGGATTCTGGGCCAGGCACAGTAGCTCACACCTGTAATCCCAACACTTTGGGAAGCCAAGGCAGGAGGATCACTTGAGGCCAGGAGTTTGAGACCGGCCTGGGCAACATAGATCCTCTCTCTACAAAAATTATTTTAAATCAGCCTGGTGTGGTGGCACACACCTCTAGTCCTAGCTTCTTTGGAGGGTGAGGTGGGAAGATGGCTTGAGCCCACAAGACCCAAGGCTACAATGAGCTATGTCTCCAGCCTGGGCGACAGAGCAAGACCCTGTCTCAGGGTGGGGGTGGCAGGGAGTCATTTTGAGGAGTGTGAAAGTGAACATACAATAAAAGGGCATATTAGAAAGCTTGGCAGAGTTGAGTGGCCATGTGTACTTTGTGGCCATTAATTTAAAAGGAGACTAGTTAGCACAGCAGCAAAATTTAAGTGCTCAGATCTAGGCACAGAGAACCAGAGGTAGTTTCAGAAATACATTTGTAGCTTACTCTACAAATGAAAAGATTACATTTTTTTGAAAAAAAAAATCCACATTCTTAGTCAATTATGAAGTACACTGACTTGATATTCCCTTAGGGCAAATCCCATTGCTTTTGGCTCTTGAATCTCCGGCATTGTTTTGCTTTGCCTTTTTTTCCATTCATACATTCTAACTCAGATCTTCCTATGAAACAGAATTTTAAAAATTCACAATCAGTAACATAGCAGGGGGAGATACCGTTTCATAAAACACTAGAGTCAAATTCGGTGTCCTCTGTGAAAAAATGCTCTTTAACAAACTTAGATTTCCTTCAATTTGGGTAAAATCACACTAAATTTATTGCTGTAGCAAAATGTGGTCACCAAAGTAAATATGATCACCTGAAAGACCTCCAGTGAGCTGCAAGTTAGCCTGGTAAATCAAGTATATAGGCCACACCGAATGTCAACACCAGAACAAAGGCCTAGGTACTGATTAGCCCCATTTCTGTTCCTGGACATAAGCTGGAGAAGTTGTGACATACACCAATTCAAAAGTAATATGGAAAATTCAACTAACATTGAAAATTAGCCTATTCCATATTTGTAAGGGAATAATGATACTCCCTTCATAAGGCCCTCATGCTGATTAAATGAGAAGTATGGACAGTGCCTGGGATGTAAGCAGATGCCCAGTAAATAATCAATTCTCTGTAGTCCTCCCCACCCCTTTTAGTCATTTATTTCCAGTGAGATGTCTAAGTTGGTTCTACAGCTACTTAGAACAGAGAGGAATGCTCCCTGCTTTATAATCCCTCCATCAGTTTTCAAACCTTGTTGTGGACAAGAATTGCCTGGAAGGGTTATTAAAATGCAGTCCTCGGCCCCACCTTGCAGAGATTTGGCAAGTTGTAGTACAACCTAGAAATCTACACTCTTAATTAAAGAGTTGCTTAAAATATATTTGTATTTCATGGTTGTGTTAACATCAAAATACATATCCACAGATATGTTTGTACACTACTATCAAAAAATATTTAAATTGGCTATGGCACTTTCTGAACTACAATGTAACTATGAATTTTAAGATCACCCTGTTTTAAAGTTTCCTTTATTTCTTTAGATCTTTATGAAACATTCCATCTTTTGCAGATCATAGTGCTTTATTAACAAATCCATGTATTCTTTTCCCATCCCTTTAATATAAAAAATTATTCATCAGTTATTTTCATCTGACATTTCACTAAGTACAGAATTCATGTCAACATTGTTAGATCAGCCATTCAAGTGGGTCACATAAGTTTATCCTCATTGTGCCAAAAACCCACTCAAACAATAAGCTGAATAACAGATGCCTCCAGGTATATACAACAACCTTAGTTTCTTAACTTGAACTAGTCCTGTTTAACAGGTCAAATTGCTAGTCTTTATAAGTAAACTAAAAAAGACTCAAGTATATAGCTGTACATATCATCAAATGGTTAGTTCATTTCAACTAGAACCTCTCTACAGTTTTCTGCTATCATTGCAAAAGCCCCTCTGAACGAAGTTATAGTTTAGAATTTAAAACAATCTTGATGATATAAAACATACCAGGTGGCTTTTCTGTAGCAGAAATTGATTACAACCATTTTTCCTAAAGCAATTTTAAAGACAAAGTTGAAAATAAATATGCAAGCATACAGTAAACAAAACGTCTACACTGAGAAATTCAGATACAAAGCACAGTGGAGTCTATACCTGTTGAAGTTAGAAATATAAACTAGCAATGAAGCAGTAATTTCTTCCAAATAGCAGGAAACAAGTTCTCTAATACCATTATTTAGATAATTATTTTGTGTTCACCTATTGATTTAGGAGGTTTTTTAAAATCCCATTTGCCAATTATGACATTTGACCAGAATCCCAACAAATACCTTAAGTCATGCAGCATGAAATAAATGACCATTTAATTCCTGATTAGTTGAATGCCTTAATGACTTTTCAGTTTTGTATATAGTAGAAAGGTTCAAGAACCTTTGTAGATTTGCTTACAATCCCTGCTATTTACGAAAGCTTTTAAAAGTTATGTTATATTCTTATCCATTTGTTGATTCCATATTAATGTAATTCTCTTAAGTATTTTATAAACAATTAAGCCTCAGGTATTAGAATGGTCTGTTTCAAATTTTTTGGCATGCTATTTTGACTTACTGCAAGGTATCATCCCCATTTCCTCCCCTCCACTATGTGAAAAAAAAAAGAAAAAGTTGGCAGAATGGAGACAAATTTCCAGATTTAAGTATAAAGAAATTTAAGATTTTCCCAGGCTTGGATTATAATCTTTGATTGATAGGAATGCCAAGTATATATGCCAATTGTTAAATGTTTATGAAATTAAACATGAAATAAAAAGAAAATAAATTCCAACTAAATCATATTGAGAATGAATGAGACATGAGACATGTTAGTAAGATATGACACATTTATCATCCATAATCAAACACTTCAAATCCCTGACTGAAATTGGCTTCAAAAATGATACAAACTCTACAGCTGCTTTAAAGGACTGTAAGACAGTATGTTTTTAAAGCCTATATAAACCATTGAAGCACTTTTACATGTTTTATATTCAAAACTAATCTATGGAGCTCATTTCATTCCACTTATAAGTAAGTCCTCACGTATTTGTGGTTACTTTTACCATATTTTTAAAAAGGAGTACTGCTAATAATTTAAGACATCCTAAAGATAGAATAGGTGTGAAGTCTTCTCTTTATATTTTGGATGTTTTAAGTAATTTTTAAGAACTTAAAATTATTTGTTTCTCCTTAATATGAAACTCTTGCAAAATGCCTTCTGGCCAGTAAGTAAATGTTCTTTAGGCACTGTGAGGTTTATTAATGATGGAGCATGAACCCAGGCTGAGAAGTGTACAATTTAATTTTAACTACTGACAAGACAGTTAAGCACTGTCTTATCCACTGACAGCAGGAAATGCTTTTACCCCACTACTCCTGAGATTCTAAAGAGGGAAAACTAATTTCACAAACAATCTTTAAAAGAATCCATAGATGATTCTAAGAACTGCACATGTTCAGGGAATCAGAAAAGATGTTTTCTTTTGTAAGGCATCAATGATTAAATTAATAGAATGCATATCTACTAACAAAAGATGGTTAACATTCAGTATTTATGATACTGAATGTTATCTTTTCTTTTTAAACTTCTCTAATTCCTGCTAATTTTTGCCAGCTTAAATAAGAAATGACTGCATCTTGGCCTAATCAACTATGGTTATAAAAAACTAAGACATCTGAAACTATTAGGCACATCAAAGGTACGGCTTATGTAATTCAAGGTTCCCTTCTTAAGGGGCAGATGAGTTACCTGGCACATTATACATATGGAACTGTAAAGATCATCTACTAAATTCAACTTTCACATTTTTAGTCAAACTGAAAGACTTATAGTAAATATTCAAACATACCATATCTTCAGTTACAACTGAGTAAGTGTAACATTTTACCAGATAAAAAGCTGGAACTTAAGTATGAAAAACCTTCATATACTGTGCTCGTACTGGTCTCTTCTTTTTAGATGAAAGCCACTCATCAATACTTTCAACACAGCAGTTTAGAAGATAAACGTCCAAAACAGTTGACTTGGTTGCAGTCCATCATTTAGCAATTCAATGCCACTGGCATTATAGTGCTGTGGAGTGCAAGTGTATCTCCATATTTTAGTCAGATTTGTCTTTCTTCTTTCCTGTTAAGGGCACTTTGTTTACAACAGCAGACCCAACAGCTGTAACACCTCCAGCCACAGCAGATACACCCCCTTTCACCAGCCCTATTCCCACGGAAGGCACAGTTGTAACAGCTGTTTTGGTCACTTCTAGACTCTTTCCACCAATCCAAGCCACACCACCAATGGTGGCACCGACAGCTCCCTTTGTAACACTGAAGATACCCCCAGTCACACGGGACAACATGCCTGGTTGTTGCTGTGGGTGATCTTTCATTGAACCTAAGGAGAGAAAACATCATGAAACGATCAAATGTAAGCATGTAGAAGAGCAGTACACATCATTAAGTCACCTAAGACTTCCTCACAATCAGGAGGTTCATTTGATGAGGCCAACCACACCGATTCAAGGACACTGAAGAGCTCTTCCTTCAGGGTATAGAGCTCTTGGTCTATACAGTATCTTCATTTTTACAATATCTTAGTCCAATGCGAGGTCTTAGTATCTATGAGAAGAAATGCTTTAGACACCAGACAACTTTTGTTAAATAGAATCCTATTTTAAATGTTTCCTTGATTTATGGTTTTGTTGTTAATAAATAACCTTTATTTTTCTATCCCAAAAGGAATATTAAAAAATAAAAAGATAACTATATTTGATCTGCATTTCCTTGATAGGATTTAATCATCACTAAAACAATCTTCTTTGTAAAAAGCAATAGTTACCGAGGTATGGTCTGGGACCACTGGAGATGCCGAAGACCATTTCAGGGGCTCTACTATTTTCATAACATTATCAAATATTATTAAAGTATCATTTGTCTTTTCACTTTATTTCTGTCATGAGTCTATAGCAGAGGTTTCCAGAATCAGGATGTTATATGATATAATACAACAGACTGAATGCAGAAGCAGCTGCAAGAATGTAGCTGTTTTCCATTAATCCAAACATTAAAGAGATTTGCTAAAATGTATAAAACAATATCACTCTGCTCACAATTTCCACAATTTTTTGTTTTGAAAGAGTTACTATTCATAAAAATATTTTAATTATGTTAATATGGGTTCTTTTAATGAATATTCAGATTTCTCAATTTTTATCGCTAATATGGTAAATACTGACAAAGACACAGCTCTTTGGGGCCTCAATTTTTGAGACTGTAAAGACATCCTGAAACCAAAAAGTTTAAGGACCCCTATTAAATAAATATATTTGAGTCTCTCCTTTATGTATCCCTTACTATTTAAAGAGCTAGTACTATGTAAAAATGAAAAACTATTCATCATTTAAAATTGTGTCATCTACCTAAAATCATTTTTATTCAGACATAAGTAGGACAGAGAAACTACAGCTATGGTTAACACTTAAAATTACTACCTCAGTCATACTTAATGAAAGAGAGTGTGTGCTTTAAGTATCTAATTTTTCAAAACTAGAGATATCACCCATAAAAGGTAATAGCAATATGAAAAACTGAGCTGCATCTAGGTCATGAGTTCGTTTTTTTTTTTTTTTAAATAAAGCCACATGTATTAGCATGTAACCTCAAACTCAGGAATAAAATGACTAGCAGAAAGATTTCATAAAAATTAGCACCAGCTTCAAATGAACACAAGCCTTTTCTCTTCAGTAACCTAATGATTTAGGCAGCAATAACACACAAGCATTGGCATTTTTCTAAACTTCATGGAAAATATTTGGTACTTATATAATTCAGGCTTTACTTCTAAAAAATTACACTCTCACACAAAGAAGGGTAAATTGTTGGGTACGTAAGTCCAACTAAGAGCACCAAAACTACTAGATGCTAGCAGAATGAGGTTCTCAGAGAAGGTATCATGGGGACACTGATAATATTTGATGGAGAAAACAAAAATTTCTGAAAACTGAGCATTCCAATCCAGAGGGTACAAATTTACCTTGAGATAGTTTTTCTTTTCATGGTTTGGAGATTTTACATTGTATCACAAGTCGGAAAATCTCACTGACTAGTCAAAATATCTTTGCAAAATAGTACATAGATACAGATATAGCCAAGAGCTATAAATTTAAAAAACCAAATATTTTTATTAAAACTACTTAAGTATAATACAAATGTTTTAATGACTGAATTAAAAGACAAGATATAGATGAGCATTTGAATATATCATTATAAAGTTATGATGGAAAGGATTACATAAGTGGCAGTTCTTTTGTAATCAAGGTCACTAGCCCTAGGAAAAAAGGCAAACTCCTGATTTGAGGCTACAACAGATAACTGCCTCAAGCCAAATAGCTCATTAGTAAAACTGGTCTTGGCATGCCAAATTTGGTACACAATCATTTAATGAAGATAAATAATTTTTCTTAATCAAATCAGATAAATATTAATGCAGTTGATCTCTTTAATTACAGTGTACTCATAATTATCACCATATAAATTATCTGCTTTGCAGATTCCTCTTGTTTAGCGGTTGGCATAGAAAGACATTCTGCTTTGTTCTCTTTCTTGACAATCATGCCCCTGGATGGGCTTTATTTATCCCTTTCCTGATTTCTTTCTGACAAAGTCCTTGTTAACTTTCTCACTGAGCCCTAACTTTTCAAAACTCCACAGTTCCAGACCTAAAAATGTAAAGCACGGTAAGAGCTGAGTTAGTAATTTTCCAGGATATTCCTCCACCAAACTAAACTAAACCTAATTAGCTAGTTCTGCTTTTTTTTTTTGGAAAGAGTCTCACTGTCATCTAGGCTGAAGTGCAGTGGCACAATCTTAGTTCACTGCATCCTTGGATAGTTCTTTTGACTTCTTTTTGGCTTAAGTGTAAACTCTTTGTTGCTATTTTCCTAGCAATTTCATTTTGGCCCACCAAAATAAGAAATATGGGAAGAAAATTTTAGGTAACAGGTAACAGAACTAGGAAAAAAATATGTAATACCTAGAGTCACAACTTCCAGCCCTAGTAATCAACATGCAATTCTCTAAGGAGATCACTACTTGGATTAAGTTTAGTAACAATCTATACCAAAAACATGCCTGTAGTCATTTTCTGTACAGTCAGGACATTCATGTGTATGTCCAAGGGTTTTTGAAGAATTAAAATGATTCATGTCACAATTTTCAAACTAAAAAAGAATTATGACTTAAAAAGACAAATGAGGCAGACCACAAGACCATGTGTTAATAGAGGAAAGCTACTAATTATAATGTAATGAATAACAGGAGTTTAACAACAAATCTCTAATATCTCTTGAATTAGGCTGATTTTGTAATGCAGGATATCAAAACTAAACACAGTCCATCCTTCTGTATCCATCCTCACCCCTTACAAATGAAAGGATACTTTTACTTCTAAAATGGTCTTAAAAGAAGAATGACAGGAAAATATTATCCCTTATATGGTAAAATTGTGGTCCTATTCACCATTATCTGTGTTTTCTTATTAGAGGCTAAAAATATTACCTTCAATTATTTTTGGAACGTATTTACTGACAAGGTAAACAGGCTGTATTTCTTTAAATTTAATAAAAACAATCAGGGTCGGGCATGGGGGCTCACACGTATAATCCAAGCACTTTGGGAGGCCCGTGCGGGTGGATCACCTGAGGTCAGGAGTTCGAAACCAGCCTGGCCAACACGGAGAAACCCGTCTCTACTACAAATACAAAAAAATTAGCCAGGGGTGGTGGCGGGTACCTGTAATCACAAGTACTTGGGAGACTGAGGCAGGAGAATTGCTTGAACCTGGGAGGGGGAAGTTGCAGTGAGTCGAGATCGCAACATTGCACCCCAGCCTGGGTGACAGAGCAAAATTCTGTCTCAAAAAAATAAATAAAATAATTTTTTTTAAAGAATCAGAACTTTAATTCAGGATTTTTTTCCATTCTTAGTGTTATAGATGCATACTTACCTTCTGGTGGTTCATCGTTAAGGTATGATGGGATTTCTTGTTGATTTTTATCTGTCTGATTCATGATCTCCTAAAAAAAACATACAAACACATTTCATTTTAACCTCAACATGAGACTACCTCATATCACATGCAAAACTGAGACTTCATCAACATTATTCAGATAAACCACATTTTATACCCACTATACAACTAGTCTTCATTTTGTTCCTCTCCTACTTCAAACTGTGACATTTAATAAATACTTTAAATTATACCAGCAGACAACATAAATCTGATGTGAAACACCCACCAAAGAGTGGCAGTCACATTATAAGCTTTCCTAAGTTGTTACTGTGGTGCTTCAACTATAACGGAAAGTTACTCACTGAAAGAGAGCTGGAAGGTAGGGTTTAGCAGACAAAATGTTATTTCCTCCTACAGAATACTGGTTAACTTAACTGTAATTTATTTCACAATACTTAAAGAAAAAAGTATACCATAACTAAAAAAGGTGTTCCCCAGACAGAATGGCTATTATTAAATAGTCAAAATATAACAGATGCTGGCAAAGTTGCAGAAAAAAGAATGCTTATACGCTGCTAGTGGGAATGTAAATTAGTTCAGCCACTGTGGAAAGCAGTTTGGAGATTTCTCAAAAGAACTTAGAACTACCATTCAACCCAGCAATCCCATTCCTGGATACACACTCAAAGGAATATAAACCATCTGCCATACATGTGTTATGTTTATCACATCACTATTCACAATAGCAAAGACATGGAATCAACCTAAATGCCCATCAACAGTGGACTGGATAAAGAAAATGTGGTACATATACACCATGAAATACTATGTAGCCATATAAAACAACGAGATCATGTCCTTTGCAGCAACATTTATGGAGTTGGGGGTCATGATCCTATGTGAATTACCACTAGAACAGAAATCCAAATTCTGGAATCTCACTTATGAATGGGAACTAAACACTGAGTACACATGGACACAAAAAAGGTTAACAATAGACACAGGGGCCTGCTTGAAGGCAGTGGGTGGAAGGAGAGGGTCGAAAAACTACCTATTGGGTACTATGCTTATTACCTGGGTGATGAAATAATCTGTATGCCCAACCCCCACAACACACGATTTTACCCATGCAATCAACCTGCACATGTACTACTGACTCTAAAATAAAAGTTGAAAAAATAAATACTAAGCTGTTCTATCTTAAAAATAGTCCTTAAAAAAAAAAAAAAAGACATCCCTCCCTTATTAAGATTATACCATCAATCTGAATCAGTAACAGATCAATTTTTATGACTTTCTGTTGTTCTTACAGCTCTTATGAACGGAGATAGTAACAGAATTCAAAATTTACTATAAAAACAAACATATATATATATATACACACACATATATATATTATATATACTACGATTAAGTTTAAAGTAGTAAGAGAACCTAAGAAATAAAATAAGCTATGCTGCAGTAAAGAAAACATGATTCAAATTTATTTTCCCAATTTCCTTTACTATCGTGAAATACTTCCTTTTAAATTCACTTGAGTAAGTAAAGATTAGAGCAAGTCAAGATTGGTCTAAAAATGTTCTTTATATTATCTGGCTTGGCCAGAAAACTAAGGTTATGATCCCAGCAGTCATACATCCTTGTATATAATATATACATATCTGTACATATATAATAGATATTAAAAGGGTTATTGTGAAAATTAACAATGTAGTTCAATACATTAATTAACAAACACTGATTGAGCACCTACTCCTGAGCCAGACAATGTTTTAGATGCATAGAGTATAGTAGTCAATACAGACAAAAAAAAATCTCTGCCATCACGAAATGAATACTCCCAAAGAGAGTACTGTATGTCAGTGGTATTTTTATGCTATGGAGAAAAAGGGATGGATGAGGAGAGGATGTGATATCTTAATTAACTTATTTATTTCTGAGACAAGAGTCTCGATCTGTCGCCCAGGCTGGAGTGGAGTAGTGTTATCTCAACTCACTGCAACTCTGCCCCCCAGGTTCAAGCGATTCTTCTGCCTCAGCCTCCCAAGTAGCTGGGACTACAGGAGTGCATCACTATGCCTGGCTAATTTTTGTATTTTTAGTGGAGACAGGGCTTCACCACGTTGGCCAGGCTGGTCTTGAACTGAGGTGATCCACCCACCTTGGCCTCCCAAAGTGTTGGGATTACAGGCATGAGCCACCATACCCGGCTAGGGATGGATGGGGAGAGGATATGATATTTTAAATAGGATAGTCTGTGAAGGCTTTACTGCGATGACACTCAAAAAAGGTAAGGATACAAGATATTTAGGTGAGAAGTCTTCCAGAGAATAAATGGCAAGATCAAAGGCCATGATGTGGGAGCTCACCTGGATCAGCAAGAAGAAACAGCCAGTAAAGTGTGCAGGGTCGCATCAAGGGTAGTAGGAGAGGAAGTCAAAGAGTGAGGTCTGGATCAACATAGGCCCTTGCAGGCGATGATGGAGAGTGGCTTTTAACTGAGTGAGATGGAAGCCAGTGAAAGGCATTGAACAAAAGAGTAAGGTGATCTTTTAAAAGATCATTCTGGCTGCTGTGGGGAGAACGAGCAGTAGGAGAACAACAGCAGAGGCAGAAAGTCCCGTTAGAAAACAACTTCAATAATCTAGACAAAAGACTGTTGGTAGCTCGGATGAAGGTGGTAGAGGCAAAGGCTGTGAAAAGTGGGAATTTTCAAAGGTGATTTTTAACCTCATGGAATTCATCTTGTTATGCCTTTAAAATCTAAATCCTATTTAAGATGAGACTTCACTGCATCCCCACTGAGTCTAGCAGCACATGTTCTGTTTAATATCTATCTTTCAATTGCTCTAGTGCAAATCTTGACTTAGGTCATTTATCAATAGCACCTAATCTTATACTGGTTTGGTTTGAGAATTTAACACATCATACCAAACGTAAGATTTTAAAAAGTAATAGTAAAGCTAGGTAATCTCTCACAGAAAAACCAGTAAGAATTTCAGCTAATGCATTACTGGGAAAAGAGGTTCTTGACGGATGTGCCTTAATTTTAAAACTCCCCAAACCACAAAGGCACATGTATTACTATTCACATTTATATTTTCTTTGATCTATCATCATGGTAAGATCATAACACATTATACAGGATGGTGGTTAAGGCTCTGGGGTCGGAGTGCCTGAGTTTGACTCTCAGCTTGACCATAAGCTGTACAGCAGAGGACAAATAACTTCATTAAATCCTTGCTGTTTAGGATAGTTAAAATAAAAATAAAAAAATAATTCTAACCTTAACCCTAAGATAAGAATGCTATTTAACAAATTCCAAAACAAAACATGCAGAAATTCCTGGCAGAATGTGTGTGTTCCTTCTGAGAAATGATTATTTTGAAGCCACTTACTTCCCCCCACTGGACTATTAATTTCAAGAGGACAGACACCTTTGTCCAACTTATTCATCATGGTAATCCCATACACATACACACAAATCCAGGAGATCACCTGGCTTGTCAATCAACTGAAGCTACCATACCCTGTAGAGAAATAATGGGAAATTGCATATACCCATGTATCTTATATATTTTAGCTGGAGTTTAAATACAGGTGTGATTATGACAGTAACTGCATACATTTCAAAACTGACTTTCTGGTGCCTACCCCATAAAATCCCTACCAACAGTCTTACCTTTTATTTCAATACGGTATCCCTTAAAAAACAATCTATATCCTATCTTGTAATTAAGAAAAAGATCCCAATTTAAAAAAATTAGTTATTGCTTTATGAGAGCATAAGATATATGCAAATTAATCTAAATGATATGAATTAGCTTCATCCTTTTGTGGGCTGGCAATAAGGAGCCATGAGCAGAGTTATATTGTCATATCTGTGCCTAAGATGGCTAACTGAACCAAGAAGAGATGGAAGGAAAGAGAGATTAAAACAGTAAGTGGCTACTTTAGTAGTCCAGTAAGATGAAATGACAGTCTAAACTGTCAGTTTTTCATGTCTAAATAAATGTTTGAACCAAAATACCAGAGTCACCTTTGAATTCTGTTTTTTACATTCCCATCTAATTATCAGTAAATTCTGTTGCCTAAATAAATCCAGAATATAACCACTTCTCACTACCTCTACTGTTACCACTTTAAGCCATAATAATCTCTTACTTGTACTACTGCAAAAATCTCTGAATGGGTCTCTGAGCTTCCACCTTTGTTCTTCTTTCAGTTCAGCCATGTCATACTTTGCTTAAAACCCTCCAACTGCTTTTTATTTTGCTTAGAATAAAATTCAGAGTCCTTATACCTTTGACACCAAATATTTAAACCCCATCTCCACTATTCTACCTCTTGTTCATTCCAGTTTACTAACACAGAGTTCCTTGTTTATCCTTTCCTCAAAGTCTCTTCCCCAATATATGTACATGGCTCAGGTCCTTCTGCAAATGTCCCCTTATTAGATGCTTCCTGACCACCTTATAATAGATAAACACCCACCACTCTTATCATTTTCACCTAACCCTGCTCTGTTTTCTTGAAACTCTTATTGCCACTTGATATGCGTGTCTGTTTACTTTGGGTCTCTCCCAATTAGAATGTAAGCTCCATGAGAACAAAGGCTTGGTTTGTTCACTACTCTATCACCAGAGACTTAATCAATGTCTGATGCATGGTGGACACTCATATACTTGAATTTTTTGTATGAAGTAGAATGTAACATGGGTATTAATGTGAGATAAAAGGGAGAATCTGTCATATTTCTAGTATAAGCATTATGTATATGTATTAACATATATAAATTTTCTACCATAAAATGTATTGTTTTTATAATTTAAAAAATCCACATTTTCAAGTCTTCAAAATCAGTGATATTCATAAGTGATATTTTTAAAGATTATGTAGTTCATCTAATCCTAATTAATCTCAGTTTTAGCACCAGATGAAGTTAATAATCTAAAAAACAATGTACTTAAATTACATAATGCTTTAAGAACATGGTATCACGGAGTTTTGTTCACAGTTATGTCTTGGATAAGGAAATCCTGACATACAGCCTTATGCAGGTTATTACTATATTAACTGTACAAATACTGTTAAAGACATTACCCACTGCAACACTTAATAGCTCTGATATGGAACTCCACATAAGAAATTTCTTCAGAGGTAATTATTCAGAAAATGTCTTGTTTCCCTCAGATATTTAGTGTGTTTTCTTAAAACTCTATCCATTTTTATATTTAAAACATACAAAGGTGTGACGTTTTCCTTCTCTCTTTGGTTTCCAGGAAGCTTACAGCTAAAATCCCAGCTCAACTAGGTAGGCACCTGTGGCCTGCATAGTTGTGTCCTATCTTCCCCTACACTTCCACACCTCCTCAAGATCATTACCCAGATTTCTATTTTTCCCGGGTTTACAATTTGAGTATCTTATTTATGTATTTTTACCAATTTGTTGGTACATTTTTGTTGTAAGTTGCCAGATAGTATTCGTGGAATAAGTAGGATAAAAAGAAAATATTGTAACCCCAGCACTTTGAGAGGTTGAGATGGGAGGACTGCTTGAGCTAAGGTAGTCAAGACCAGAAAAGCATAATGAGACTCCGTCTCCACACAAAAAAAGGAAAAAAAATTGGCTGGGCATGGTGGCGCACATCTGTAGTCCCACCTACTTGGAAGGCTGAAGAGGGAGAATTGCCTAAGCCCAGGAGATTGAAGTAGCTGTAGTGAGCCATGATCGTGCCACTACACTCCAGCCTGGGCAACACAGTGAGACCCTGTCTCAAAAAAACAGAAAAGAAAAGAAAATACCTGTATCCACATATACTTTAAGCATCATAAGAAGAGATGCATACCAATTTATGGCCCAAATTTAGGGTTAAAAAAAGAAAACCCTAAGCTAGAGTCATGCTTTCCAAATGTACCTTTTTAAACATAGGCAGTGGTATGCCAAGGACTTAAGAATCCACAAAAGAGACATAATGCATGCATTTTAATCTAGAATAATTTAAAATACTGTTTTATTTTTAAATTCACACACAGTGAAAAGTAAAGTGCTTGAGCATTGTTTTTTTTAAAGATAACTAGACTTTCAAGAGATTTCACTCTAGCCTGGGGCTGCTTCTGGGTATATTCTCAGACTTACCAGCTCTCCTTGACAGTCCAACCACACTCCCACTCCCACGCCCACCATGAGTTCATTCTGGACTTAAATTAGGAGTATTTTCTGTAGAGGAGTATGAAATGTAAAAAGCTAGATACTATCAAATAGAAATATTCAGTTGCATTTAAAATCATTAGCAGTAGTGACGAATAGGATTATCAATAAACAACAAAGTAGCAAATCTGGAGTTCTGCCATGCCAGGCATAAGTCTACTGAAACTAGAGAAATTTACTATTTAAAAAGCCTTGAAAGTCCTAAGGGCAGCAAAGATTAGTTTCACTGGGACTTAAAAAAACAAGGGCCGGGTGCAGTGGCTCACGCCTGTAATCCCACCACTTTGGGAGGCCACAGCGAGTAGATCACCTGAGGTCAGGAGTTTAAGACCAACCTGGCCAACATGGTGAAACCCCATCTCTACTAAAACTACAAAAATTAGTCAGGCGTGGTAGCACATACCTCTAATCCCAACTACTTGGGAGGCTGAGGCAGGAGAATTGCTTGAACCCCGGAGGCGGAGGTTGCAGTGAACCAATATAACACCACTGCACTCCAGCCTGGGTAACGGAGCAGGGCTCCAACTCAAAAAACAAGGATTAGTTTTGGGTTTCTTGTATATCACATCTTAATAGCCAGTATGTATTATCAAAATTCCTCTAGAACTTTTAGAATAATAAAAATTATGTGAAAGCCACAAGTATTGGAGATTTTTTCTCCCTGAATTCCTAATTTTATCGCAAGACGCTGAGTTACCTTATAAAGGTATTGCTAAAATCCTTAACTGCATCATCTGTACTTTTCATTCACATTAACCATTCCAAATTCCTACACACAAATATATGCCTAACTTTTAGTGATATTACCTCTCTATGAATATTGCCACTTTATTACTAAATAATTTTTATATTACTATCCTGCTCATTATCTCCATTGCAGGAGACCTGTTTCTCTTATATTAGGAATTGTGAAGACAAATAGATCCCTAATCTAAAACTGTGAAAGGTAAATAATCTACTAATAAAATTTAAGAGTATATATGTAGACACAAGTATCAACTGACAGTAAAATTTTAAAATGGGCCTGTAATTCCAGCACTTTTAAAAAGCTAAGTGGCCAGATCACCTGAGGTTAGGAGTTCGAGACCAGTCTGGCCAACATGGTGAAACCCCATCTCTATTAAAAATAGAAAAATTAGCTGGGCATGGTGACAGGTACCTGCAATCCCAGCTACTTTTTTAAAAGTTACCGTTAAATAATACGTTAAAATTACTAAATTCTATGCAAACTATATCCCCTGAACTCAATGAATCATTAGTTCAACATACACTTGAGCCCTACTATGTGCCAGGCACCCTGTTATGAACTTAGGAGTTCAGTGTGATTAAGCACACACAGGCACTACTCTAAGCCAGAGTTTACAATCCAGTGGGAATAGATTTTTTCTGGCACTTGCCATTTAGTGAATCATTCAAGAAACATATATTCAAGAAACAAACACCTCTGCTAAGAGCTCATAATGCACAAGTTTCTATTAAAAACATACTTTCTGGCTGGGCATGATGGCTGAGACCTGCAATCCCAGCATGTTAAAAGGTCGAGGCAGAAGGATCACTTTAGCCCTAGAGTTTGAGACCAGTCTGGGCAACATAGCAAGACCTCGTCTCTACCAAAAGACAAAACAACACATAGTTTCCAAAGGAAGGCAATAATGACAGACAATAGCTTTAGATAAGTACAAATGATTTAACTTATTCTACAGACATAAATCAGTTCTACCTCTTCGTCCTGAAGTGTGAATAAACTATTACAATAGCAACTAAACTGGGTTATAAGTGAGTTTTTAAGAAATTGTGACATATGAAAGATTTCTTTGTTATAGACTGTATATCAATGACTACAAATTCATCAGCAGTTACATTAAGCATTGTAGAGATGGGGAGAAATAATTCTTGCCTAGTACAATAGTGTCATAGATATAGCAGCTGGCAAATATATTGAGCAAGGATTAACAACACAACTCCCTAAAGGGTAATTTATTCCAATAATAGAAATAAGTAAACGAACACCTCTTGGGAAACTTTTTTTCTTTTTAAAGGAAAACAGACGAATCAATGTTGTTTGTGGGTTTCAGTAATATTTCATACGTAAATTTAAAGCTTTTAGTCATAAAAAATTCCAAAAACAGTGAATTTTCTCTGGGTACCACCCCTCTATACACCAAAAGAAGTTAAATAACACTAACATGTTACATAAAGCTTAACTACAAAATACAGTGCACGACAGTTTATCGTCAAAGCCACTTCAAAATACCTGTTATTAAACAGAAGGTGCCAATTTCCCTGTATTAGAAAAAGAAGACTATAAATGAATTAGCTAAATTCTTCTACATATTCTACCTATAAGAACTTTGCCACATCCTCATTCCCATGTTTTACCTTCTTTGCCAAATAATTGTAAGGAGATTCAAAAATAAATTTATACAGAGCTTTACTACATATACATTAACAAGCAAAGTCCATTAAAACACCAGCTTACCGTTTCTAGGTTTTTCTATTTAAACCAACTATCCAGAAGAGTCTGCTTTTAAAGATGGCTCCTGCCCATTAAATCAACAGCAAATAGTCTACAAGAAATGCCCTGAATCTAGCAAGAAAGAAAAAGTAATCTGCCAGTAAAACTTGTAAGTGCCCACTTAGATGAGTACTGACAGTGTCAAAATGGCAGTTTTTAAGGGTTGTCCTTAAATGAAACATTAAGCAGAATTACAATACTCTATTAAATCAGGGAACCAGTACACCCTCTTCACTACATTATTTCAACGGTTATTTGCATTCCTACTATGTGTCAAACATTCTGTTAGGCACTGAGGCATCCCTGTGAACAAGCATACAAAAGTACCACTCTCAAGATGTTTATATATAATCCAGTGAGATATATTCCGGAAGCAGGAAAAAAGCAAATACCCAATAACTGAAACAAAGAAAGGTAAAGATTTTCCCGTAGTTAAAAAAAAAAAAACCGCGTGCACACACAGAAACCTGTATATTTATTTGTCTGATGTAGCAACCATTACAATTTCTAAAGATGCTTTCTATAAATGGACAAATTTTTACTGAACTTGGTTTTTGGTACATCTGTTCTAACAAAGACTAAAGAAATGCAAGTGGAAAAAGCAAAACAGGATGCATATGGGTTTATCAAAGGCTACTTCTCCCTTTCTTTTTTAAAAGTAAGCACGGGAGTGCACAGGCACATACGCGTTTACCTGTTGGTGTGGTATCAGTATTCCTGGGGAACCGTTGAGAGCACTCACACCAGCAGAAGTTTTATAGGCTAAACAACAGCATACAGCAAATAATCACATATAGCAAATAAAGTATTTTCATTTCGAATTAGCACAGTGTTCACAAGGACGCAAAAATCAAATTAAGAACCCTCCCCTTTTCTCTAGGTGTTTCTAAACCCTTCCTGGCTGCCCCTTCTCTCTCCACTGATCCTTTTAGGCACTAGCAAGTTTTTTTTTTCTTTAGCAGAGAGTGTGACGTGGCAGGAGCAGCAGAAAATGACCCTGGAGGCGCCGTGGCTAGCGCTGAGCTTGGCACCTCCTCCCTCCCCTCCACGTTGTACACCCAGCACACCCCCAGTCCCGAAGGGTTCCAGAATTTCTATGTAAGAAGGGTTTAGGACAGGCGATCTGATTGGAAGTGAAAGCTGGGGGATCGGTCTTGAACGTGCGTGTGCAGAGCAGGCAGTTTTTATTTAGACTGGGAGGCAGTGACGGCACGATGGGTGCTCCAGCACTCCCTGTCACCTCTCCATCCCCACTTTCAGTTTAGGTTAGGCGTGGGGATACAGCCGTCCTACCCAGAAAGAGCTCTGGGGGTGTCCACTAGGGGACAAATCTTGTGTGTCTGAACCCAAGAGGGAGGTTTATCAACAGGTCAGGAGTTGGCAGAGCGAGGACGCCCAGCACCCAAGCCCCTCTGCCGCATCCCTCTCCCAGGCTGCTGACGCCCCCCACCCCCGACTTCGGCCTCCACCCCGAACCCCCAGATGTTAAAAAATCAGGCGGAGGCTTTCCAGGGGAGTCCCCAAGCTCCAATAGCAGCGGGGCAGTCAGCGACGTTGGGGAGGAGTAGCCCCAGAAGCGAACCTCCATCCGCCCCCAACTTTGTCCCGCCCCTCCCCCTTTTCCGCTGGGTCCCCGCCGAGGCCCCGCTGGGAGCGAGGCCCGGGAGCGGGAGCTGAGGGGCAGGGGCGCCGACGGCAGAGGGCGAGGGAGGCAGGAAGCCAGGCTGCGCCCCCTACCCTCGCAGCCCTACTCACCGCCGGGGTCGCGGCCCGCGCTGGGGCAAAGGCAGGGGCTGGGCGGAGGGAGCGGACCGGTGCCGAGGAGGGCTGAGACAGCCTGGGCGGCAGCGGCGGCCGGCACAATCCCGGGCAATCGCGGCTCCGCAGGCGTCCTCTCAGGCTGTGGAGCTGGAAGACTGTGGCGGTGGCGGCTACGGCGGCTGCGGCGGCGGCTGCGACGGCCTCTGGCTGCGGACGTGGCGCCCGACGCGACCCGCCCCCTCCGCCGCCTCCTCAGTTCCCGCCTCCTTCAGCGGCTCCGACTCCGAGGCGCACGCGCGCTCGTGCAGCCCGGGCCTCTCCCGCGCCCACCCGGCACACGCCCACTCGTTTCTCGCAGGGTCCGGTCCTCCCAGCAGCCCCCAGCCGGCCGCGTCCCAACTGCGCACGCGCGACGCTCTGAGGCCCGCTCCCGCCCCTTCGCCCCCTGGGCGCCTCCGTGGGAACCCCCGGCCGGCCTCCACGCGCCTCTTCCGAGGGTCTCCGCGCCTTCTTCCCGCCACTGTCCAATCAGATGGGGCGAGGGGCACAATGCCCAGGAGACGCGCAGGCCGCGGACCCCAGTCCCGGAGGTTTGGCGTCGGCGGCGGCAGGGAGTCAAGGTCCGCGCGGAGTAACGGTCTTCGGAATTCCGAACCTTGGCCTTAGGGAAGGTGGGCCAGTCGCCAGTTTCTCTAGCACTTTTCGTCCAGGTGCCTCAACCTTCTTTGCCTGCTGTGCTCAGGGAGTGACAGCCGGGCCTGTTCAGACGTTCACGTCGGGGCTCTATGCTCGCCTTTGTGACTAAGTGCTAGGGTTGAGGAGAGACGTGGCTTATTTATGTGTTTTTCAGTTTGTTTGATTTTTATTATTATTATTTATTTTACTTGTCGCTGGCCTAAAATTGAGCTCCTTGAGAGTAAAAACCCGCCTGGGTTGTCATCACCGTCGGCTTGGTGCAGGGCCTGCCAGGCGCTCGAAATGTGTTGAAGAGGGGGTGTTTAGTAGCGAAAGAGCCTTGGATTGGGCATTAGAAAGCCTGGCTTTGCGCCGCGCCCTTGCCAGTTGCTGACCGGGCCCCTCCACGTGTTCCCCGCCGGGGCAGCTGCTCTCCTCTCCAGTCCAACGGCGTGCGGAGGCGAATGGCGGCCCCGCCTGAGCTGATCCCCCTGGGACGTGAGGCGTCCCTCTCTGAGCTTCACAGCGGGTTTCAGGAACCACCTCAGAAGGTCGTTTTGAGGACGGGAGGAGATGAACTGCTCAAAGCCTGCTTAACTACATAAATGGTATCCGTTAACTTTTCCTTGACTCCCTTTCCACACCTGTAAAATGAAGATGATGGGAAACTCATCATCCTTGTTTTGTGTGTGTGTGGTGGGTGGGAAAGGTCTTTATGAACTGTGAAGTCCTATGTAAATGTGGGATGTTTCTTTCACAGTCTGATTAACAACTTAAAATACGTGAAACAAAAACACGTGAAGTCAAAAACATACACAGGAAGCAAAAAAACTGACAAAATGACTTATCAACTACAGAATATTCAGGGTGGTGGAAATGAATGATAACTGTTGACAACATAGCTCAGAAAGGACATGCTAAAACCAAGGAAAGCATGCTGGATGAGGCTAACTTTGATCCAGGTCATAAATGGAATGGCCTATAGTTTATAGCTTCAACCTAATCATTAACTTATGAAATCAGAGAATTCAGGCCTCTTAAGAATTAAGGACAGTGGTCCTCAGACTATCAAGATATTTTAGTTTCTCAAAGCAGAAAGAGGAAATAATCTTTTCACTTCAACCTATGGGTTGAATGATTAGCAGGATCAGTGGATTGTACTGTTTATCCAGCATGTGAAGAAATGGATAACCTCTGTTTTCTTGTTATTACAGAAGTTTCTGTCTTTAATATATCTTTAATATGTGACCTTTCAAGGTTGAACTCTAGGTAAAATTATGAAGTGCACAATTATGTCTCGTTTCTTCTTCCCTTTGCACGTTGTTTTAAAAGAGAATTATTAAAGTACAAATGACTGACAGGACTGTAGCCACTCCTGGGAGATTTTGCATTTTTACAGTTATTAAAGCCATAACTCAAAGGAGCAGTTGAATCTGTTTCATAAAGCAACTAAGATTTAAAAGAGCTCTTTTGGGAGGTCATGAGTTCACCAGAAACTTCTGAAACTGCAAATATAGGAGTTCAGCCTATAAAACAAAGATATACATGACTTGTAGTATTTCTTCGTTCTATAGGCTGAACTCCACCAAATTCTGGTGACCTCTCTTTCAAATAAAATACAGGTGGCTCAAGCCCGTAATCCCAGCACCTTGGGAGGCTGAGGCAGGGGAAGGTCACTTGAGCCCAGGAGTTTTTTGACTAGCCAGGGCAACATGGGGAGATCCCATCTCTATAAAAAAATATAATAGGCCGGGCGTGATGGCTCACGCCTGTAATCCTAGGACTTTGGGAGGTCGAGGCGGGTGGATCACGAGACCAGGAGTTCCAGGCCAGCCTGGCCAACGTGCTGAAACCCTATCTCTACTAAAAATACAAAATTAGCTGGGTGTGATGGCGGGTGCCTGTAATCCCAGCTACTTGGGAGGCTGAGGCAGGAGAATCACTTGAACCCAGGAGGCAGAGGTTGCAGTGAGCCGAGATAGCACTACTGCACTCCAGCCTGGGCAACAGCAAGACTCTGTCTCAAAATAATAATAATAATAAAAGCATGGTAGTACACTCCTGTAATAATAATAATAAAAGCATGGTAGTACACTCCTGTAATAATAATAAAACCATGGTAGTACACTCCTGTAATAATAATAATAAAAGCATGGTAGTATACTCCTGTAATAATAATGGTAGTACACTCCTGTAATAATAATAATAAAACCATGGTAGTACACTCCTGTAGTCCCAGCTATTTGGGATGCTGAAGCAGGAGGACTGCTAGAGCCTGGGAGGTCAAAGCTGCAGTGAGCTATAGTCAAACCACTGCATTGCAGCCTGGACAACAGTCAGACCCTGTTTCAAGAAAAATAAAATGAAACATTTATGTCTGGATGTTATTTTGAAAGATTTTGTCATGTCTTAAAATAATGAGCCCTGGCCAGGTAATCACAGCACTTTGGGAGACCAAGGTGGTAGGATTGCTTAAAGTCAGGCGTTTGAGACCAGCTAGGTCAATATGGTGAGACCCTGACTCTACAAAAAATAAACAAATAAGCCAGGTGTGGTGGCACACACCTGTAGTCCTACCTACTTGGGAAGCTGAGGCAGGAAGATTACTTGAGCCAGGACTTCAAGGCTGCAGTGAGCTACAGTTGTGCCACTGCACTCCAGCCTGAGTGACAAAATGAGACCCTCTCTCTTAAAATAACAATGAATTCTTAGTGCCATCAGGCAGTAACTTAACAAAATTCTTAATACGCATATATCAATTACCCAACATTTTAAATGACTGGGTTTTATTCTAGTTGGTTATATACACAGTCTTTTTACCTTATTAAAAAACTTTAGAAATTAGATGTGACATTGTTTAACATAGTAGGGTGGTTCAAAGGGGACCAGAAAGAAGCAAGCCAGAAACCAGTAATGTTAACACAAGAAATTGTTTCTAGGCTGATAGTACATTGAAGTTTAAAAAGCCCCAGCCCAGCCTTCTGCTCAACATGTGAATCTGTCTCCTATTATGTGCACAATTATGGTTTTCATTGTTATCACTCTTCCCAGAGTTTCAGTACGGACTCATTTAAGTAAACTACTTGTTGCAAGATCCACATATTTTTGTGTTTTACCATGTTTTCATGAATGTAATGCATTATTCTTGCATTAAATTAACAGCTTTATAAAGGTTGGTTACCACCCAGTATAAATCATTATGCTTTCTGTCCTCACTTTCTTACTGCTTTTTGCCATTCCTGGCTCTTTGCCATATCCTTGCACAATTACCTGTGCTATTCTTGGTTTTCCTTTCCCTGCACCAGTATCCTTTTTAATTTTTCCTGTGATACAATCATACTAGCAGATTTATTTGACACAGTTCCTAACCTCTATCATCTCATTTCTCTCAACAATCCAATGAGGCAAGTACATTATATTCTAATATAGAGAGTTCTATATTCATATGAGGAAACTGAGGCATAAAGAAGTTGGATAATTTACCCCAGGTCCCACAATTAGTGAACAGAAGGCTCTAGAATCAAACCCAATTTTATCTGACTCTAGAGCCCAAGTTCTTAACCACTATATTCTCAGAAAGAGAAAAGCAGTTCCTGACATTTAGTAGATGCTGGCACAACTAGGCTTTGGTATTTTTGTTGAACAAAAGCAATTTTAGAGAACATCAACATCAGACAAGGTCACTCTATGATCCTGGTAGATCAGGACAAAAATAAATCTACTTGATAATCATGGTTGAACTTAGACAAAAACATGAATGTTGTCCAACCCACCAAATGGAATACACAAAACGAAATCCCAAACTAGTCTATGTAACTGTTGCCTCTTTACCAATAACAGCTTTAACCTCATTCCGGTCTTCCTTGTTTCTAGATAAGATTTAATAAGATACCCAATCAAAATTACCCCCACTTCCTGACAATATCTCGTTTAGAGCATAGAGCAAAGTTCCACCTACTTAAACCCTCTGTCAAATCACCAGTTTTTCGAACACCTTACCCATATGCCCCATGGTTCCCCAGGATCTCCCTTGCTGCAATGAGTGATAAATTCAATTTGTTCAACTACAGGTGTGTTCCTGGTGATCTTTGACTAGAAGGCATTGACAATTCTTTCTCGACTGTTCTGTATCATGCATATCTATGGAGTAGAAAGCATACTTGTTAGGTATTTCTGCCGGTCAAAGGAGCTGGAAACTGCCCTTTCATCTCCAGCCATGGGATTGTAAACACCAAAGCTAGAAGGTTTCCTTTCTTTATGTGGATCATATACAGAGTGTCTGCTAAATTGAGCCTTATTAAAAGATAGTAAAAAGAAACACATAATGTTTGAATAACATTTTGAAAACAAAAACTTAACACATATAAACTCATGCCTTTCACCATATACAAAATAATTCTAAGTGGATCATAGATGTAAATGTGAAAATATAAAACTTCTAGAATAAAACATAGAACATTTCTGTGACCTTGAATTAGGCAAAGTTTTCTTAGATACAACACAAAACACACAATCTATAAAAAAATTTATCAAAACTTGCTCTTTGGATGACACTTAACAAAAGAACAAGCAACAGACTGGGAAAAAATATTTGCAAAACATCTATTAAATGATTGTATTCTGAATATATGGCACACTCTTACAACTTAGCAGACAATCCAGTTTTAAAATGTGTGAATAATTGAACAATCACTTCACCAAAAAAGATACATGGATGGCAAATAAGCATTTGAAAAGATGCTCAACCCTCCTACCCACAGGCAACCACTCATCGATTTTCTCTCCTTATGATTTTGCCTTTCCTAGAATGTCATATAAATGGAATACAGTATGAAGCATTTTTAGTCTTGCATCTTTCACTTAGAATAATGCATTTGAGATTCATTTATGTTGTGTGTAGGAGCAGTTTGTTCCTTTTATTGCTATAGTCCATTTACTATAGTAGTCATTAGGGAAATGCAAATCAAAGCCACAATCATCACGACTTGGTTGAAATAAAAATAATTTCAAAGGCTATTGAAGATGGACAAAAACTAAAACCCTCAGACATTGTTGGTGGGAATGCAGAGGGGTACAAATACTTGGGACATGGTTTCTGAGTTTCTTAGAAAGTTATGCATATACTTATGATAATGACCTAGAAATCCTACTCCTAGGTATTTACCCAAGAGAAATGAAAACATGTTCACATGAAAACCTGAAATTATTTTATAATCATCTAAAACTAGAAACACCCTAAGTGCCCCTTAATTTGTGAATGTATAAGCAAATGGTGGTACATATATGCAATAGAATCTACTCTTACACACAGCATAAGTAAATCTCAAGCGCATTATTCCAAGTGAGAGATGCAAAACTAAAAACTCTGCATACTATATTCCATATATATGACAATCTGGAAAAGGCAAAACCATAAAAAGAGAAGAGAGATCAGTGGTTGCCTGGGAGGTAGGAGGATTTGACTATAAAGTGGTGCTTAAGAGAATTGCAGAGGGGCTAATGGAACTGTTGGCTGTCATGACTGTGATGTGTGTGGGTTACAGAATGTATGCATCTGCTGAAACTGATAGATTTGTACACTGAAAAGAACAGTTTTGCTGTGTGTAAATTATACCTCAATAATTTTGACTGGAAAAAGAAAGATGTTGAAATGGAAAAAAAAAAGAGTTGTGGTAAGGTAGAGTTACCTGGCACCATGAAAATAAAGACTGGCCTAAAGGTGAGAAGCCTCTTATACCCCTAATGGGCAGAATTTCACATTGGTTTCAGTAATACAACCCAAATTTAAAGATGCAATTTGTTCTTATATTTTTGCCTAGTTGCTTACTATACTTAACCACTGTTAGCTAGTTTCTACTCTCAAGTGCCCTTATGTCTACAGTAAACAGTAGAGTAACTTGAGTTTGAGTCTGGTTTCTACCCTTGATATGGTTTGGCTGTGTCCCCATCAAAATCTCATCTTGAATTGTAGTTTCCATAATCCCTACATGTTGTGGGAGGGACCCAGTGGAAGGTAATTGAAATCATGGGGGTTGTTATCCGCATACTCTTTTAATGATAGTGAGTTCTTATGAGCTCTGATGGTTTTATAAGGGGTGTTTCCCCCTTTGCTCAGTACTTCTCCTTTCTGCTGCCGTGTGAAGAAGGACATGTTCACTTCCCCTTCCACCATTATTATAAGTTTCCTGAGACCTCCCCACCATGCTGAACTGTGGGTCCATTAAACCTCTTTTCTTTATAAATTACCAGTCTCAGGTATTTCTTCACAGCAGCATGAGAATGGACCAATATAGTAAATTGGTACCACAGAGAGTGGGGTGCTGCTGTAAAGATACCCAAAAATGTGGACTTTGAAACTGGTTAACAGGCAAAGATTGGAATCATTTGGAGCATTCAGAACACAGGAAAATGTGGGAAAATT